CGGGGCGGGCTGAGACGGGCCGAGGCTCACCACCCCCCTCCTCCGTCTCTCCCTCAGGTCCCCGCACTATGCGTGTCCGGAGGTGATTAAGGTGAGTGTGGAGCAGGTGGGGGGCTGCGGGGGGGAAGCTGGTGGAGATGGGTGTGATGGTCACCGGGTCCTGCTCCCTCCCGTCCAGGGGGAGAAGTACGACGGCCGCAGGGCGGACATGTGGAGCTGTGGGGTCATCCTCTTCGCCCTGCTGGTGGTAAGGCGCCCCTCCCCGCCCCTGCCCGGCTCCAGAGCAACCCGCCTGGGGGAACTCGGGACCGGAAGCTCCAGCCTCACCCCAGGGCTTGTCGCTTTTTTTTTTCTTTTAAGCTGGTATCCATTTTTTAAATTTTTATTTTTTTAAATTAATTTCAGAGATAGAGGGAGAGGGAGAGGGAGAGAAACATCAATGATGAGAGGGAATGATGGATCAGCTGCCTCCTGCGCGCCCCACACTGGGGATCAAGCCCGCCACCCAAGCATGTACCCTGACTGGGAATCGAACCCAGACCTCCTGGTTCAGAGGTCCCTCTCCCAAACATTTAACTGATATCAGGAAGGTGTGAGGGGTATTCGCCAGCCGACAGAGATCCTGGAGCTAACCGTTCAGCCCCAGAAGTGTGGGACGGCCCAGGGGGTCCCCGAGTAGGACGGGGCAGCCAGGAGCCCTTGGAGGGCTTGGGACAGCGGCCGGTCACTTGTCCCCCAGGGGGCTCTGCCCTTCGATGATGACAACCTCCGCCAGCTGCTGGAGAAGGTGAAACGGGGAGTCTTCCACATGCCCCACTTCATCCCGCCGGACTGCCAGAGCCTCCTGCGGGGCATGATCGAGGTGGAGCCGGAGAAGAGGCTCAGTGTGAGTTGGGGGGCGGGGGATGGGATGGGGACAGGGCACAGGACAGTGGGTGATGAGGTCAGAAACCCTAGGCAGCGGTTCTCAACCTGTGGGTCGCGACCCCTTTGGGGGTCGGACGACCCTTTCACAGGGGTCGCCTAAGACCATCAGAAAACACATATATAATTCCATATTGTTTTGGGGATTCATCACTATGCTTTCATTATGTTCAGTTTGTAACAATGGAAATACATCCTGCATATCAGATATTTACATGACGATTCATAACAGTAGAAAAATTACAGTTAGGAAGTAGCAATGAAAATAATGTTATGGTTGGGGGTCACCACAACATGAGGAACTGTATTAAAAGGTCGCGGCATGAGGAAGGTTGAGAACCACTGCGTAGTTAGGAATTTTTATGTTCAGTTCATCCTATGTGGTTATTTTTATTCTCTGAGTTTGTAAGACTTGCCATGCTGGCCTCCTCTGAGCTTGTCAGGTTTAGCATGTAGCTCTTTTTCTCCTGGAGTGTGCACACAGTTATGGTTGGGTCACAACATGTGTATGAAAGTCGCTGCATGAGGAAGGTTGAGAACCACTGCTCTAGGGCAATCTATTTTTAAAAATATATATTTTTATTGATTTCAGAAAGGAAGGGAGAGGGAGAGAGTGATAGAAACATCCATGATGAGAGAGAAACACAGATCGGCTGCCTCCTGCACACACCACACTGGGGACTGAGCCCGCAACCCAGGCAGGTGCCCCGACTGGGAATCGAACCGTGACCTCCTGGCTCATCGCCACGTTGGTCGGGCTCCCTAGGGGAGTCCAGGACTGGACTGTCTGTCCCTCGGGTGACAGCTGGGAGGGGAGTCCCTGGGTGAGCCCCCAGTCACTCCAAAAAGGGGAGGGAGACCCCTTCAGGATGACTGGCCGATCCATGAGACTCGGATTGCGCCTGGGCGAGGCAATACGCTCACTGGCCAATTGGGGGAGACATAAGCCGGTATCCCGCCCTTGGTGATGGGAGAGTAGGGGGCACCGTTAGGGACCCCCATCCCCACCCCGTCAATGGTTGTGGCTTCCTATTGTGATCATATGACCTCAATTCTGCTTCTCTACAACCCCCCCATCCCCCACAGCTGGAGCAAATTCAGAAACATCCTTGGTACCTGTGAGTATGGGGGCGCTGGACCCCTGGGTCCCTGGGGGAGGAAGGGAGAGGGGCGCGGATATCAAAGGCCCCCCAAGCAGGAGAGCCAGAGACGGCCAGGGGGTGGGATGCCGCGGGGCCAGGGGAGTCCTGAATGAGGAGGGGCCAGGGTACCTGGACCCCTGGGTCCTAGGGGAGAAGACACGGGTGGAGGCGCTGGGGTCCAGATCCCTGGGTCTGCAGGAGGGTGGGGGTAGGACTCCTGGGTTCCCCCGGAAAGGCGCAGACTGGGACCCAGGAACCCTGAGGCTCGGGTGAAGAAGCGGGTTCGAGTCCGGGCTCCCTCTGCTGTTTCTCCCCGCCCAGGGGTGGGAAGCATGAGCCGGACCCGTGCTTGGAGCCGACCCCGGGCCGCAGGGTGGCCATGCGGAGCCTGCCGTCCAACGGGGAGCTGG